ATATATGTGTGTGTGTGTGTGTGTGTGTGTGTTAGTCTGGGATGGGAAACAAACCCAGAGACATTCATATGTGTATAAGAAAGAGCTTTATATACAAGAGCAATTGAATATTGACAAAACATTCCACCCCAGTCCAGATCAAGTCCATAAGTCTGATATAACCCATATGGCTGATACCAGTTTATAAATTCCTCTTCAGACTCACGCAACACATGCAATGACACTGAGCACAGGATCACAGGCCAGTGGGTGGAACATCTTGTGCATCCAGTGGCAGTGGAAGCATCTTAGTGCTGGTGTGAGTATCCATGTGGCTCCTCCAGCTCCAAGGCTCTGGCTGATCAGTGTGTCTCTATGTGGCTCATTGTCAGTAATGTCTCACAGGGATTGAGTTTGTGTCCCATCTTGAACAAGCTATTTATCTTCTTAGTACCTTCAAATGAGGTCATCAAGCTGTGATCTGATTGACAGGCTAAACTCCACCCCTTCACTCTTAAGTCTCATAGTGATAATGGATTATGTAAGTACCACAATATATGATATAAGGAATTCATATCAAGAAAATGACTCACATAGTTGTGGAAGTCCTAGTCTGAGCAGGTTCCATATTCCTGAGTCAGATGCTAGTCTGGAGGCCTCTCCTGGTTCATGTAGCTGTAGGAGCTGATGGACCCAAGATACCCCTCAAAATCTGATGCTCATATGATTTTTTGATGTGAGAGAGATAGTGCATTTGGAGTTCATTCTACTAGCCCAGATTCTATTTAGAGGTTCTGAAAAGATATGTAACAATGTGCAACAAAAAAGGCCTGATTTGTGGCTGACGGGACTGGTTTTACCACCATGACAATGCACCTGCTCACACAGCCTTCTCATGCGGCAGTTTTTAGGCAAAAAATCTGCAAGCCTCTTTTTCTCGATGAACCTTACTCACCTGGCGATGAAGCTTACTCACCTGGCCCTGGCCCTGCTCCATGTGACTTCTTTTTGTGTCTGTGAATAGAGAGGGACATAAGAGG